AGGGGACCGAAAGTAAACAGAGGGGGTCGGGAAGGAGACAGGCCTGGTGATGAAGAACAATGCACAATGGGAATCTCTCTGACTGCCTCCTAAGAAATGGAGAGCAGATCTCTGACGAGAACCGCTGTCATCCTTGAGCTGAAGGCACTTCTCACGCGCAATTCTGGGAAGATTGCGCCAGTGGGGGGGAAGAAGCGCGGATGCGGGGGAGGAATCAACGTAAAGAGTGCTTGGGGGTGGGGGATGTTCCATATAAAGGCGCGTGTGCTCTCATTCGATCGCCTGACGATTAATGTATCTGTCTCTTTCTATTAGAAATTTGCGGAAGATGGCGTGAGCGACGCCTGAGGAGGGTATAGAGTGGTACACAGGGAATAGGAAAGACGCACCAATTGTGCTTTAGAAGGAAATTTGTTAAAAGCTGGCATTTAATGCCTTGAAAGCAACTGTATAAGCACGTGACAACACGTGGGACGTGGCACCAACACGTGGTCTCCAACGTGCTTTCTGCACCTTTTCCTGTTCCTTTCCTTTGACCGTCACGGCCGGATTATGTCGCCTGGATTCGTTCGGGTTAATTCGATGACGGGGAGCTGTTACTGGACCTCAATGCAATGTCTGCCCGATCCACGCATTCGCTTACTTGTTTCATTAGCTATGTCAATTTCCACATGTACAGAGGGGCCAGGCCATCTTCGCCTTGGCGATCTACCCTTTGCCTCCAGGGGCCTCACCCCACAAATTCGTTTCTTGGTACTACAATGCCGTGCACTTCTACTGGCATATTTACATCAAAAGACGTCTTCAAAGCCCAGTCATCTTCCAATATAGATCCTTCGCGCCTGCGCCATTCGCCCTCTCAAGCATTCCCTCTCATCGAGGAGCAACGAGCGGCTTGGGTAGATGCACGGAGCCATCAGCACGCTGGCATGTGTTTACATCCGTACACCCCCGCTGCGCAAATTAATGGCGTTTTCATCATCGCTGTGGGCCTCCGTCTGTCAATGTTGGACGCAGGAAAGAAAAAGAGCTTTAGATCCGGAAGCCCTCATGCGGACGGAAACCAATTTCTCTGTGCTCCCTCGACGAGTCTGAAGACTCCCTTCCGTGACACTAACAGGTCTGCAGAAGACCTTGCTATACATCTACTTACGCTTGAACGGTGCTGTGCCCGCTGCTGGTACTGCTCTTGAGACGAGGGGGGCAGGGGCTCGTAGTAGGATTGATTGTCCAGGTTGGGGTTGTACCCTTGTCCTTCCGAGAGGACCTCCGACGCCGTCACAAGTCGGCGCCGCTGGAGAGTGTATGCGTCAGAAAGTGCGTTCACACGAAATGGTCAGTATGCACACCTTGAAAGGAATTAACGAGGGGCCTCGAGTCTGGAATGACCATCTGCTTTGAGAGGGTAGCACTATGTACGAAGATTTCCCCAAAACCTGGGCCGATTACAGCGCATCCGGCCTCAGCACACTATCCATCCGTGCAAGCTCAAGTCGCACTTCTATTTGATAGTGACGTCAAATTAGACACGCATCACACCAAACCAATCACTTACCAAGGCGCGGTGATTTACGAGGTTGAGCGCATCTGTCTCTCCTCCCAAGTCTTGCGCGGGGGGGGGGGCGTCACAGTTGCCATGTGCGAGAAGGAATAGAACCAAGGCGGCTAAAAACTGCCACGACGCGGACAAGGACTGGTAGGCTTTGCCCATACGGATCTGCGGGTATGCTGGAAGAATGGGTCCGTGAGAACAATGCGGCGTGAATCTTCCCGTCTCAAGGATCTTCCGTGCTGGGACGGCACGTGCGGCCTTCAAACGAGTCGGTGAGGGGCGTGTCAGAGAAAAAGAAGCAAGACTGGATTTTGTGGATATTGGGAGAGCGGGGGGAGCGAAAGTGCGAGCTTAGCGGCCGCGGGGCGGAGGGCGGGTTTCCCACCACATGAAAAGCACGCACAATAGACAGAAGCGTGGCAATTTTTGTTGGACAGGTGTGTTACATTTGCCGGAGCAGGACAGAGGTGTCTCAGGCATGTTTTTTTTATAAATCGCCTGACGCGAAACTCCCCTCAGAGATCGAAACGACAACGATCTCCTCCCAAGCCACGTCCTTTCCCGGGACTGCTAAATGCCGCCTTCCACGGCCATGCTCCATGCAATTTCAGTTTTTTTCGATTGGTGCCTTTTGTTTGACTTGTCATGCAGATGTTTTGACGTCCGAGGGGGGGTGTTGGGGTCGCACGAGGTTGCTTTGCGCTTTGATCGGGGGCCATGGCTTTTTCCCTGTTCCTGAGATACAGCTTATAATGTGTTGTATAAAACAACAAGTCCCCTGGTTTTTTATTACCCTGTCCTGAAGGCAATTTAAAAGTTAAAAACAAGTTCGAGTGCTAAACAGTGTTTATGCTTTCAGTTTTCGAGTCCTGGCACATTCAATCTTTAATTTGCACAGTTCCAGTCTTCTTATGAACTCCTCTTTCATGCTGCACTCCTCGCAAAATTAGACAAATTTCGTCATCTTTACACGAAACTTCCCTTTGCTTGTCGTCTCCACCTCGTTCACTTCCAAACGCCCCTTCCCCCGAATGGTTACAATGTCCCCGCCCTTGAGCTGCGCGTTCGCAGAGGTGATTTCTTTCCAGTTGACTAGGACGTCTCCGCCTTCTATCATATCCTGAGGAGGGGGGGACAAAGGAAAGATAAGGACACATAAGAGCGCGTCCAGGCCTGCTACACTACACACACACGCGCTCTGTAGGTAGCTAATGCGTGCTCGCAGTTTGAGGTGCTTCCCGCCGACGCGCACTCGCTCCTTGATACCGAAACGAGAAACGCCCCCACTCCCCTCCAAACAGCGGCTCAATCACCTTCAATTTACTCCGACTCATCCCCATCCCGGCGCTGGCGACGGCGTCCAGGCGCATGGAGGCCTCCACAGATTGCATCTACACGGGTAGGTCAGGGTGTGACGAGGATAAGAAGGCAAGGCTTAAAGGGCTCGGGAGGCCGTCCTACCATATCTCTCATTCAACAGCACTACTTTTGAGTCAATAACCATCAATGTTCATCGATTTTACCCCTCTCACCCCTCCTCGTCCTCCCTCCCCCCCGCCCTCTTTCCCTGACTCCCACACGAACCTCCTTCGTGACGGGCGGCCGCACTCCCAAGTCAGCCAAGGCAATGGGCTTGTTCTTGACAGGCACGCTTCGAACCGCGGCCAGAGAGAGCACCACATATTCGGCAACGTCAGGCGCCACGACCACATGCGCGCCGCGTTCGCCTTGGAGCAATATGTCTCCGACCTGTTCATGCCGAGCGCCGGGAAGCCGGGAGTTAGACAACCCCAGGGGCGTGGCGTGGGGCTTCCTATGACACCAGGGGCCGGTGCTTTATGTACCGGGCACCATGTCTTATCCGTTGGGTGACTTGACAAGCCCCTCCGACCCCATCACAAGCCCTTCCAATCCAATCATCTGTCCGGCAAATCTCCTCTCCTGCACGCTTTTCTGAGCCCCGACCAGAGCTTACCTTTTCCCTTGCTATGCCTGTCCCCAGCAATGCGCCCAGAAAATCCCGGTGGGTGGCCCGATCGAAAATAAAGTTACCTTCCACGGAAATGGCAGCTAGGTAGCCTCCCCGTTCCTTGCGTGCGTCTTCCTCGTCCACCGCATAGTCGAGCGCACGAGAGAAAAATACACGTTGCCGTTCAGCTTGGGGAAAGCCTCCGTCACAGGTGATAGACAGGTCGGCGACCCGACCAAGGACTCTGGTCATGGTCGCTACCTCGGGGGGCCGACAAAAGTCTATCACCTGCATTTCCCAGATGCTGACGGCTTTGTCCGCTGCCTCCACAGCGCGTGCCGCCAAGATGTCGTCAAGGCCTTCGGCAACCAGGCTTTTCCGCAATTCTTCCCGATTTACGCTGTTGCCTCCGCCACCAGCATGTAGACGCGGCGCCCGAGGCGGAGCAGGAAAGATCGAGACAAACGCAGGCACGGGTACCATGATTGCCAGAACGGCCAACAGCAGGAGTCTCACATGGTTTAAGGGCCCTCTTCTCCTGACTGACCAATGACAGGGCTCTGACATCTCTCGACGTCCGATCGAAAAAGAAAGCAGAAGCCTACTGCCTGTGTGGTTTAGCGGAAAGGGGGGTGGGGAGGTAAACTATCGTGTCTTTGATAGCTGTCCGGCCAAAACTTTTACGAGAGCGAAGAGTCAAACCTGTCGTCTCACAACAAAAAACGACTATCCACGACATGCCTTGGTGCACATACTGCTCGTCCGACGCACCATGCACGGGCATAGGCCAGCCTTTCACCGGAGTATGACGTCGTCGGCCGTGGCGATTCATGTTCCACTCGATACAGCCTCCTTTCCCAAACCCGGACGCTTATTCCTTGCTGGTGATTACCATGACAGGCGTAAGAAACATGCCATGACAAAGATGCGGCCTACCTCTTGTCTTCACTCGGAAAGTTGACGTCCATGCCGTCGTCGGTTCAAATTTGTGGACGCGTTATCCCTTGTACAGCCTTCCTCCCCTACCTCCTCCTCCTCCTCCTCTTTCCTACCCATTGCTTCTCCTTTGTCATTTCTTTGCGTCCATGCCCATCTTCTTGTACAAAGACCTGTTTGCATGCGGGTCTTACCTGGCGGGCGGACGAAATTTATCATTCCCAACCCGACTTCCCCGTCCTTTTCTTGGCCACGCGCAACGAGTCCTACGCCCGCGACATAGAAGGATATTTCAGCAGCCAAGGCTATTTCGTCCGCTCCTGCCGGACCCTCACACGCCTGGCAAAGATGGTTCAAAGCACACGACCGGAAGGAATCCTCATCAGCGACCATCTCTCCACGTCCCACATCCAAGGCTTCCTGACCAGCTTGAAGCGACTGCCAGATTTGTGGCTGATCCCCGTGCTCATTATTTGCGATTCTACCCCTACCCCGTCCCCAGCGCCTTCTAAACCCATCCAGGAGGGCACTGTGAGGTCCGAGGAAGGGGGCGAATTGGAGGTAAGGATATTGGCCACGAAAGAGGATGGGTCGGGTGCCGGCGCCTGTCATGCTCATGCACGCAGTACCACGCACGTACCTCCCTGGTGACACCTCCACCGCTCCACGTCGCATCTTAACAACACAGGACTCGAACGATAGGTCTCGGCGTCTGGCCATGCTGGAGCTAGGCGCCCGTGCTGTCTTTCCCCCCGACCGGGCTACCTACCCAAGCATTCAAGCCACCTTCACTGGCGCCGCCCATACCCGGCAACGCGTGGAAGACCTGGTCAATACCCTGCAAGGTGCCGTCCTCCACTACGCGCAACACCAGCGCCGCCTCCTCCCGTCCACCGTGACCTTGGAAGGACCGCCGCCGTCCTTTTCCCCTACGGAACAGGCGGTCTTGAATTTGCTCTGTCGGGGTATGACGGATGCGCAGATTGCCTATTCCCTTGGGTGCAGCTCAGCGGCGGTGGGCAACGCAGTCCGGTCCTTGTTGGAGAAGCTGGAGATGGACCTGCGGGGGGAGCTCATCCGGGTCGCCTTGGACAATGACCTGGTGACAGAGTAGGGGGCCGGCGTCCCCGTTGGTTTCTTGTTGTCGGGGGGTGGGTGGAAAGGGGGGGGGAGCTTAGGAAGGAAAGGAGTTCTTCAGTCATGAAGGACGGATGAAAGAGAGCCTTCATTTCCTCATTAACCGCGCATGCGTGGGGGGGTGATGGAGTCGTCTCTTTGTCGGCAGACAAAAGTACCCATGAACACACGTGCTCAGGTCTTGGCGCTGCACTTCTTTTCTTTGGCATCAATCTTATCTCTGCCAACAAATCTATGTAAAAGGCTTCCATCCCCTTTTCATTTTCTTTTACATGGAACTATGTGCACGTCTGGCAAAGAGGGCTCATGCTTCTGGCCCCTTTTTTTTTCAGCGATTCAGATCCACGATCAAAACCCCGATGTTGTCCGTACTGCCCCGGACATATGCCTCCCACGTCAGAGCCCGCGCCAGGGCGTGCCAATCCACTCCCCATCCCTCTCGCCCTCCGGAGCCTCTTCCCTCGCTGCCCTCCCTACCTTCTCCTCCCTCCCCACATTGCGACTCGCCCTCAATCCCCGCCTGGGCCATGCCCTCCCGTCCTCCCTCCCGCAAAACCTCGCTCATCTTCTCGTCCACAAAAGCAACCACATCCTCGTTCGACATGACGTCCCACAG